TACACACAGTCTGCATGTACACAGGCATGTGCACACACGCTACAAACTTGCCTACCCCTCAGCAGGCCCAGTGAATCAGAAACTCTGGGGGCAGGGTCTCAACTCTGAAGGTTAACACTGTCGAGGATTCTGACGCACGCTCAAGTCTGAGAACTATTCTGCTGCATATCATTTCAGTTACACCCTTCACTCACCCTGAATGGAAAATACTGCTCTTTGTTGTTGCTGTTGGGCTTTGGGGGTCTTTTTCACTTTTCTGTTGCTGTTGTTTTTGAGACAGGGTCTCACTATGTAGCCCAGGCTGGCCTTGGACTCACAGTGATCCTCCTGCCTCAGCCTCCTGAGTGCCGGGATCACAGGTTTTTCACATGAGGAGCTGAATGAAAAAGTAACTGGCCAGCCTCACCCACCTCTGCCACTCTGGCCTCAGCTGGCCCTCCAGTGTTGTCAGCCTGCTGGCTCTTCTTTGGCCCTTTCTAGAAAACAATTAGCCTGGCACTAGAATCAGCACTGAATGGTCTTTGGTTGTTGTTGTTGTACTGAGGCTTAAACCCAGGGCTTTCACAATGAGTCTCATCCCCAGTCCGTATCTTGATGTTTTCTTTTGCTTTGCTTTGTTGTGTTTTGTCTTGCTTTGTTTTGTGAGACAATGTTTCCCTGATTCACCAGACTAAGCTCAAATTTGCAATCCTCCTGTCTCAGCCTCCTCATAGTGCTGGGATTACAGGCATGCATCACCCTGCCTGGCTTCTTTCTCCTTGCTTTAAATGCCAACACATTCACTGCAATCCCCTTGAAAGCTTTGATGTTTTTATTGTTGTTTAATAACATTTTATTATGAAGAATTTTGAACATACACAAAAGCAGTCAAAACAGAATAACCCAACTGTATCTGAAGTGAGAGCTTCCCAAAGGGGCCACCAAAGCCCCAGCCCAGGCCAATGAAATCTGAATCCTTAGGGTAAGACTTGGCTCTTTACAAACTCCCCAAGTGATTGCATTGCTCTTAAGTGTGAAATACACCATCCAGTGTATTTTTCCTGCGTTATTCAATCTCACATTTCACTTGTGTCTCCACCAAAATGTTGCATCCCAGAGTTACCCAGATTTCCTGATCTGAAGCATATCGCATCACTGCTGGTTACCCCTGCCATGCCATCTCTCCCCCTCTTTATCCTACATTATTTTCTCTATACATGGCCTTTCTCATCCAACATGTCATTATACACTATGGGGATTGTTCTCATCAATGAGTATGATGTGGTAGCACACACTTGTAATCCCAGCACCTGGGATGCTGAGACAGGAGAATCCTTCTGAGTTTGAGGACAGTCTGGGCTGCACAGTGAGTTCAAAGCCATCCTAAACTAGATAGCATGACCCTGTCTCAAAAAACCAAAGAGTGCTTATTGAAGCAGCATGTGGATCCCCCTATTTCACAACTGACCCCAGAACCTGCAAAGATGATGCACATGCAAGTCAGTGGACCACTACTTCCTGAATGAATCAATGCACAAGACTATAGCAGAGCTGAGATTTTTAAACCTGGGACTACCTGACTGCAAAATCCTTTTTCTTCCTACAGTAGCATACCACAGGCTTGGACTAGTCTTAACCTTGGAGAGAAAATGTAGTTCTTCCCTCGAGGTCGGCTGTATATGTGGTACTGAGCTGGTCTAAGCCAATAGTACATGCTAGTTACTAGCTCTGAGGGCTATGTGGTTCACTTAAAAACTCCGTGTCTTATTTTCATCTGTAAAACAAGAGACTGAGCTCATCCCTGACTATTTTCCAGACTTGGAGATACATGACAACTTACATGACGTGACAGCATTCTCTGAGTTGTAGTACTCTGTACAGGTGAGTTTTTACTAATATAACAGGGGCAGGGTAAAAGGGGAGAAAGAAAACAGAGTAAGTGAAGAAAAGGAAGTGAAAGAAAAGATGACAATCTTGCATAGAAAGGCTTAGAAGCGTCTTATGTCTGAAAAGCTATGATTTAATAAAAAAGACAAAACAAAAATATACCAAAATGTTGTATACTAGAAGTATCCTTCTGCCCAAAAATATGATTCAAATTTGTTTCTGTCTACACCAAAAAGAACACAATTTTATGTTTTTAAAGTATAAGTTACTTGTTATTTTGAACTCTTTCAGGTGCTTGTGTGCTATTTTAGTGTCTTCAGAACACATAATAGTAACTTTGTGATGGCCTCATGTGGGCATGCTCGCTGCTGGTTTTTGTTTCGTTCTGTTTTTCTTTTCTCCATCCTTGGTTCAAGACCTATTAATAAGGAGCCCTGAAGAGCTGGACAGCCTCTGCTTGGGTTAACCATGCCTGATGCCCAGTGTGGGAGGCCAGGAAAGAGCCATCCATAGCTACCTTGGTACCATAGAGCCCATCAATCCATCCAATGCTTACCACTTCTTCATAAATAACCACCGGACTCTTAAGGGAAGCTACACCACCTTAAATTCACAGCACTATATTTAACACATTGCAGACTCTCAATAAAGGCTGAATAAATTATATAAGCAAATGGTCTTGAGACTCTTGTGAATACATCCAATAATGAGAAACCTACTCTTTCTAAGATGAGTCCTTTCATAGGGAAGCTTTAAGAGTCCGTGTGTGAAGGACAGGGCAGCACAGGGAATTTCTCACCAGCTCTTAACCACATGCTTCCAATGTGCCACTCATTTTCCCTGAACCCCAGTTTCCTCATCTGTATGAACAGGAAATGGTGCCAGCAAACGGGAGCAGAGAGTCATGGTCAGAAGGCAAGTTCTGAGCCCACAAGCTCAGCTTTCTCACCAGGCACCATTTGGCTTCTGCTCAGAGAGGTTTGAGTGTTTAAGGCACAATCCTGGAACCAGACAGCTGGGTTCTGATCTCTGTTCAAATCTTGATCAACTACCTTAACTGTTCTTTACACACATTTGCATATAGGTAAAGAGGTGACTATTGTGGTACTTTATCTTCGGGCTGATGTAGGGATTGAGTAAGTCAGTATCTGTAAGGCATTTGGGCCTGGATTCTCAAAAAGCCTGGACAAACAGCGATACAGTGATTGTTATGAAGTCTGCAATCAATCATACCAGTCAAAAAGCAGTGATAAGATACAAACTTTCTCTTAGATGCTTGATGTGAAGGATACAGGGAAACAAAGAGGTGGAAGGTCAAGAAACTAGTCAAGAAGGTGTTGCAATTCTAGGTAAGAGGTGCTGCGAACCCAAAGGGGCAAAAGTAGAGAAAGGGAAAGGAAATGGATTTCCAAATCAATTTTTGGTAAATCCCTTGATGTTGCTGGTAGGGAATGGAATCATTAGAGAGAAGATAGGATTTTGACTGAACTGATGTGTACATTAAAGTTTCACTGGGAAATTAGTTTTGCCTGCTTCAGGCTGTAAGCTTTTTGCCCAAACAATGTTCCTGGTATACAGCAGGCACTTAGAGTCTGTTGAGTAACTGTTATCCTCAAGGGACACAAATCCAGCAGAGTGACACACCTTCCTCTAGATGCATTAGAGAAGAATGGGTGAAAATATGAAACGACTGCTAGAAGTTCTTTACATCCTCTATAGTTTTAAGTGAAGATATAAAAAGACATCACCAAGATGATAATTATCATCACCAGATTAATGTTCTTCAAATGGTAGGAATCCAGAGCAGAATATCATATTGAGAGTCAGATTAAGGATGCCACCCAAAATATAAATCATTATGGAAAAAAATATGAAAGCTCACCCACCTCCAATGTCTGCTTTGCTCAGAATTATAAGAGGACCTATCCTATTAATCTGTAAGGATTCGAACTAGCATATTCCAGCGTCCCCATAACTGGACAGGGATGGACTACGTTCAGAGCACAGAGCACCCACATGTTTTAGAAAGGAAGTTCCGTCATCAATACTAATATCCTCTATTTAGAGCTTCTCAGCCTTGACCAGATTGTACTTTTGAGCTGATAATTCTTCCTTGTAAGGGCTGTCCTGTGCATTGCAGAGCGGTGTGCCTCTCTCAAAGTTTTACACATCTGACAAGTTTAACTTTTATCCCCTAACAAGCCCCATGAAAGGCATACCCTGGTTTTCATGTCCTGTTCCACAGATGAGCAAACTCTTAACTATAGCAAAAGTTTACTTCCTGTCTTGAAATAGAAGAATATTATATTCAATGTACACTAAAGTGCCAGTGCTTTAAAAAGCAGGCGCTGTCTGACACTCACAAGGTCATGGGCCCTGCAGCCGCATCTCTGCCATGAACTTAAGGCTGTCCTGAGGGGAGTTGCTTCCTCCTAGACTTGTGTCACCCAGCTGTAAACCAGAGGATGAACCAGGTGAGGATTAGGGATCTTCCCTGCTATAGCATTCTTAATAAGCCTGTCCTCTGCCAGGACCCTTCCTTTCACTTGTTACCTGGTGACTTTTAACCTACTCGGTAATCACACATCTACCATCTCACAAAGCCGCTGATGACCACTCTGTGTGACAGGCATCTGGGGCTGGAGGGCAAGGAGGGCTACCTAGTTCCTAAAGCTTCCAGCAAAACCACAGAACTGCTTAATGACTAACTCCATTCCTCTTACACTCTGGTTAATCTTTGTGTTTGAAGCTTCAGAAGCAAGTTATTAAGTGCAATTTGGAAAGCCACGAGAAGCAAGCCACTAAAATGACCAGAGATCACAGAAGGTCCCTTCTCGGCACCCCTGCACATCCCCTCCGTGATTCACCCTCTCCTGCGCAACCCCGTACCTTTAGGGAGAGGGTATCCACGCCCCTTGCACAGCGTGCAGGAGCTCCGGAATCTGCAGATCCATGTTTTAACTGTGTCACTAACTTCTAAGAAACTACTTTCCGACCGGGGCCTGGCTTGGGACTGAGTTCCGGTGACCTCGCAACTTCCCAGGCTCTGCAGGGCCAAAGTCACTCGGAGCCCCCGCGCCCCTCGGGAACCGTCCCCGCGGGAACACCGCGGCCCTCCACCGGCCGGCAGTTACCTTGTCCAGCAGCCGGTACACACTGAGGCCCGAGGCATTCACCAGCAGCTCCCAGTCGGCCCCGGCCAAAACCGGCTGCTGGAGCTCGGCGCAGACCTCCTGGAACTGCTCTTCCGAGAAGCAGCGGGCCACAGACTCCATCCTGCCTCAGCCTGGCCTCTCCGGCAGGCAGCAACCGGCCTCGGCGTGAGCTTGGGGGCGGGCGATCAAATGGCCTCCCTGTGATTGGCAGGAAACAGAGCAGAAGGCGGGACCTCGCCGGAAGGCGGGACCTGGAGGGGGGGCCTCTGGTGGAAGGGCCTTAAAGTGGGCGGGGCTGAGCTGAGCAAGGCGCAGCAAAGATGGAAAAGGTAAAACTACGCATAAGTGATCAGGAGAAGGAAGAAGACGCTAGGAAAGAGCTGGGACTTGTAGAGGGAAGAAAAAAGTAAGACACTGATGTCAAGTCGGAAAAACTTCCTCAGGAGCCCATTCCATGCTCCCACCTTGTACTCCAAACCTTGTAGAATGTAAAGCGTCTTCTGTAGACTTGGGAGGAGGAGGTGGGGGGAGCACAAATGCTTGGAAATCTCAGGACTCAGATGCTGGAACTGTAGTTCAATAAAATTTCTCGTCTTCCTGCTATGCATTTAAAACCATCATTCCAAGAAGGGTTCCATGGGGTTCATCAGAAGGCCAAGGCCCCAAAACAGTTCAAAAATCTAATCCATAATGGCTCTGCAAGATTATTTGCCATATTGAAGGGTAAAAACAAGATTTGGAAGGTGTTGTGCAGGACTTCTACAGCTTGCACAATTTAGATTTTTATGCAGCTCAACCTTTCCAAGTCTCTTGGGTATTACTGTATTTCCCATTAGAAGATGATACCAAGATTTTTTAAAAAGTAGGTGGTGTATAAATATCAAAGTGATGCAACTGCCACATGAGGCCCAATAAACTTTGGAGGCCTTTGTTTCCTAATCTGTGGAATGGGTCAAGAGTTATGCCACAGTTGAGGTGATTAGACGTAGAATGTGTCTGCACAACATCCATCAAAGAGAATGGTCACAGATAATTTTTGCTTCCTTTATGATGCTACATTGAAATCTCACTCTTTGTGTGCTTGAGAGAACCTTAATGATTCATTCCTGTGTATGCTGCTTTACAAGAAGGGACACAAGATCACATTTAGCACCTTGTTTGAACACAGAAGACATAAGTTACTGCTTTATTCAACTCTGCACTGGTTGTATTTTGCTGTGTGGGATGGGAGAAGGAAAGTGGGATTTTCCAAGTCTAAATGTATAAAGATTAGAGAGATTCTTCCCTGTTTTTATAATGCTAGTAACTTTTGTGTCATTGGTAAATACTTATTAAACTAAAATCCATTTCTGAAGAAAGAATTTTACATTGAAATCATTAGGTGTGAGTATTTTGAAATATTCTCAAGGGATCCAGTATACAGCTGTGCTTTGATGAAACTGTGGCTTTATCATATCACCATGTAGCAATAGGAGACAATAGGCCTGAGGATAAAAGTGGCATCACGCAAGATATAAGGCACAAAATTCAAATTGCATCTATTGCGTATGTTTAAAGTGTGGATAAAGTTCAGGAGAAAAATTTATGTATACTTGGACATGTTGAGAGTTACAGTCCTGTGTATTTTATTGTAGTTAGTGCAAGACAGAATAATGTTAAGAAGTAGCTTTTGAAAACTTTTTTCAGCCTCAGTGACCTAGAAATGATTTTTAAAAGGTTTCTGCTTGGATATTTGCCTTGATAGTCCAGCCTGTTTCCTTTATTAAAAAACAAACAAACAAAAACATTCTTCAGGAACTTCTCTGCATGGCAACCAAAGTCCCTAGCCTAAAGTTAGAAAGGCTGGATAAAATGCACTGTGTTAGTCAACTTTCCAACCTGTCACAAAATGCCTGAGAAAAGGAACCTAAAAGTGGGAAGACTGAATTTGGTTCACAGTTTCAGAGGTTTCAATTCATTGTCAGGTGAGTGTGCATTTCAGGACAGGCAGAAACATCATAGTTGAAGAGCATGGCAGAGGCCAGCTGCTTGCCTTAGGACATCCAGGAAGAAAAGGCAGTGGAAAGAGCTAGAGGAGAAAGAGGTAGAGACCAGATGTAGTGCCCAAGCACACAGCTCCATAATCCACTCCCTTCAACCAGGCCAGACCTCCTAAGTTTCCATCACCTCCATTAATGCCATCAAATTACAAATCCAGGGACGGATTAGTCCACTGATGATGTTAGAGTTTTAGTGATCCAATCACCTTCTGAAAGCTCCACCTCTGAACACTGTTGTATTAGGAACAAAACTTTCAACATATGAGCCTTTTGGGGGATATTTTAACTGCAAATCATAACACATAGTTTTATATATATAGTTTTATATATAAAATATAAAATAGTTTTATATATATACATATATATATATGACTTAAAATAGAAAGATGCTCTGCAGATTTCAGAAAACAGAGAAGAAGGAATGAAAACCAGTGACACAAGCACCTGGATATCCTTAGAGGGAATGACTCCGCCACCACTATCCCACATTTTTCTTGAGGAACTTCTATTAGAGTAAACGGTTTGGTCTCATTCATACATCGACTTCCTCAGGAGAAGGGGAGTAGTTTAAATGATTGACCGGTCGATGAATGGAGGTAAAGGGGCTACTAGTTATATCTGGCTCAGCCCCTTTTCAGCTCCTTTTAGGCACCCGGATATATATCTTCATCTGTCTTAGGTTATGCAGTAATGATGAGCACAGGATGTGACACCAGAACCTCAGTAGGCAGAGTGCTGTACTTCTGTTGTTGCCTAAGACATGTCTTATTCTTTAAACAGCTTTATTGTAATAAAGTGAAATTCTGATCCACTGCTGGCTTTAGCATCTGTCTCTAAACTGATTCAGACTGCAGGTAAGGAAAAGTGTGAATTTGAAGCCTCCTAAAATCCCAATGGACAGAAACATCAAGAGCAGCAGGCTGTGATTCTAGTACTCAAATGTAAGCTGAAGACATAGGTCTAAACCATGGCTTGCAGTGAAGTTGGACCAGGGATATCCTCATACAGACTGAATCCTCTAAGAGCTATCACTTCCATTCAAAGTTCTCAGCCCCTGGAACATGGAAACCACAAAGAAGCTCATGTTCTTCCTCAAGGGAAAAGAAATAAAAAATCACTTAGGAGAATCAGACCCTAAACCTATGCCAGATATAGGATTCAAATTGATATTGTCTATATTGTATGGGAGCCACAAGAAAACAAATCAATGCAAAACCCAGTTCAGGAAGTTTGAACCTCTGGGATCCTTCTAGAATCAAAGCCAGGGACCCTTTCTCAATCCAGACAAGTGGACTTGGCACAGAAAAGATAAATTTACAAACAGTGAGTCACCAGGACATGAGGAAAGAGAAGCTGGGGTTGTATTGCAGCGGTAGAGCACTTACCTAAAATACACAAGGGCCTGAGTTTGATGTCCATATTAGAAAACTGCACCATATCTACAGAAAGCAAACAGAAGAACTACAGGTAAAATATACAAAAAGGACCAAAGAGATAAAAAGAACAATATTAAAGTGATTATATAATGCTTCTATAATGAAGAAATGACAAGAAGGTCCAGAAACTATAGTGAAAGAACATGAAGAAAAAGATAAGTGAATGTGAAACGAACCATAGAGACCATAATGGAAAATGTGGCCATCAAAATTAAAAACTCAAAAGATAGTAAAATTATTGCCCTGCCACACATAAACATGAATGTAGCTGGGAGGAAATTTCCCAGAAAGCAGCACAGAGGTATAAAGAAATGAAAAACATAAATGAACAATTAAGAGACATGAAGGATACATGAAAAATGCCAAAGGTTTCTGACTAGAGTTCCAAAAGAGAACAGAAAACTGAGGAGATGGGTGGGTAGTGGGAGAAAAAAAAGGAAATGTGGAAACAAAGTACAATTAAATTCTTGGTGAATAGAAGAAAGTAAGGTTAAAGTTTTGTGTAAGCTGATTGATTGATTCTGGCATTGTTTAACTGTGCATGTGAAACTTAAGGTTATGGACTATCAAAATTAAATCATAAGAAAACAAGCTATGCAAAACAATGGGTAAAACATTTAAATTCACACTTCACCAACAAAGTAGGGCTAAAGAAGAACATGAGAAGAGGCTCAACAGCATTAGTCCTGAGAGTAATGGAAATTAAAATCACAAGTATCATTCTGTACCTAGTAGAATGGCTAAAAGTTTTTTAAAAATTAATCAAAGTAGGTGTTGACAAGGATGTGGAGGAACTGGAACTCTTATATATTGCTGAAGGCATAGAAATAGTATAAACACTATTTGAAAGTCTCTTAAAATGTTAAACATACATGTACTACACAATCCAGTATTTCTACTCCATGATAGTCACTTAAGAGAAGAAACACTGAATTATTTAAACACATATTTGTACACAAATGTTTATAGAAGTTGTACTTGTATTAGGAAGAAATTGGAAGCAACCCAAATAAACTTCAGTGAGTGAATGGATAAATCAAAGTTTGATATATCAATGAAATACTAGTTAGAAATAAAATTTAAAAGTTGAAAATATGTGTGTATAAGTGTGTGTGCGTGTGTGTAGGTAGATCTGTGTTATAAAATTGTGTAATTGCCTAGAAGAAGTATACCCCTCCACATTCATTATCAGTGAGCACATCCTATGACCCAGATTGTGGCTTCTATCTATTATTCCATACTAAAAGATTCTTGGAAAAACAACCAGTTGGAAATGTAAGGCAGGGAACTTTTAAGGTAATCTATTGACATTTGAGATCCTCAAATCCTAGTGGATTCATGACAGAAAGATATAGAAGTTGGCTTGAGTGGGCTCCCATTGGTCAATTTTGGCATATATAAGAGCAGAAAAGAATAGTGACAGTGGTGGATTATAAAACTCTAAATTTTTAAAAATATCTGTGTGTCCATAATAGTACTTTTAAAAAAACCAAGGAGAAAATGAATGGAGGCAAGAAAGAAAAATATCTCTTTCTTTGAATAAGAATACCAAAAACTTAAGGGGAAAATAGCAAAATTAGAAATTTCCTATTTTCCCTTTCCCACACAGTAATTGATGGATTCAAGCAAATATCATCAATAGATACTACAACAGTGGATCGTCTGTTCTCAAAGTGTCACCCAGAGGACTTACTGTTTATAGACAGCAAGTGTCACTAAATAGACATAGTGATTGCAGCCTGAACTAAGAAAGCAATAGCTTCATAAATACTGGGACAGATGGCAGCCTCCATGAAATGATGCAACGAGAAGTTTACATTACAACATCATCTAAAGAATAGATATTTTCTTTAAGGTAGCTGTTTTAGTTACTTTTCTCAAGGCATTTGTAGTTCAAAGGTAAAATTCTTGCCTCCCATGCAAGGTACCC